GACGGACAGACGGACAGACGGACAGACAGACGGACAGGGCCAAATCAACTCAGCTCGTCGCCCTGATCAAGAATATATATACTTTGTGGGGTCTGCCACGCCTCCTTCTGCCTGTTACATACATTTCAACAAAACCATTATACCCTGATTTCCCATTGAAAATGGGTTCAGGGTATAATCAATAATAGACTTTCCTTTACTACAAAATAAGAAAAACATACGACAGTTCTTAGGTAAAGTTAATTTTTATGGGAAATACATTCCTAACGTCTCAATTTTGCTCGATCACCTACACAACTTGCTCAGAAAAGATGTAAGGTTTGTTTGGTCAACTGATTGTGAAATAGCCTTCCGACGATTATTCAGGCAGGTAACCATCCGAATATTCATGGATCTCTTCTAGGCCTAGAGACTGTTTTCGGTTGGGCTCACTTCCACGAACTTCATTGGTTTCCTCCTTTACAACTCAAGTTTCCGTTCCGGGTGACACGAAACTTGAGATTCCGACAACCTTGTTATCTCCTGTAACTCTTCTCTACGACGAAGGTGAGGGTCGGTTTCAATAAGTGCCTGAATTATATTCTTTATTCAGGCCCAACAATCCAACCAAACCCCGGTGCTCCTTGTGCTGTCCAACTAACTTCCATGTTGTGTTCTGACGAGCAAGCAATTCACCCTCATTCAACTCATTCGATCTTTTAGATAAAGATGCCGTCATCAGAAAATAGCAAGCCTCCCGGTACCAATTCCTTCCAGTGCGGCGTGTGCACTGTTTTCGGAAATGCCAGCGTTTTCTGGGCCTTCCTGAGGAGAAACTGATACGTGCGGTACTTATACATAAGTACTATACGAACTGCTTGGCTCACGAGCACTCCGGGCAATCCTGCCGVAGCAAGGGACGTTGCAAAACGTGTGGCCAGGATCATCACATGCTCCTGCATCTCCAGGGATCAGTATGTCAATCCGCATCGACTCCCAAAGAGGTGGTCACAGCGCCGCTGACGGCCTTGATCCGGTCACCAAAAGGGGGGGGGGGGGGGGGTCATCCCATTAACAAGAATTGCTCCTCTCACAACATACCATGTTAAGGTATTAACAGAATTCTGTTAATAACATAACCCCAACACCAGTTCTCTTACTGGTTCGCGCCCCGCGCCTCCGCTCCGCTGGTCACTTGTCTCTTCTGGTATTGACACTTACATATGTACATATCTATTACACAGCACTTTTTATATACATACGAGCAACACAGCTTTCATCTACCAATAAAGATTAGAAAATATACAACCTGATCTTTTGTACTTATTGAAGACGCCACCACTCAAGTACTAGACACTTTTGCTTTGGAATATACTTACTTACATTTTAACCATATCTTACTACAAGAGAAATTATTCAACTAATAAATTCTTATAATATTTCCGACACTGCAGCGCAACCCAGCACCGCTGTCGCTGCTAACTCCGCAGTCAGCAGAGCGCGTGATATACGTGCGCGTGGATGCGTGTGTATACATTTTCTACATTAAATAAGATTGTAAACCTTTTGTGTCAACTGTAGTTCTTTGAAATGAAAAACACTGCCCCAGATAGAAACACATAACCTTACAGTTTCTAACTCTCTTTTCAGCAAAAATCAAGATAAATTACCATTAAAATATTCATCATTGGATAAAGATCGGTCACTTAAATTAGTGTTGCGAAATGAAAAATTATACAAATATCAAGTAAGTAAATAGCTCATACATTTTTCCACGAAAGTCGTTGTACACAGTTAACACAGTTAACGTAGCTTAGACATTAGGTTAATCAAAAAGTCTGCCCAATATGTTTTAATTTAATGGCTCTAGATTGCTTTACTAGATCCCTTGAACGCTGTAGAAAAGCTACATTCTGTATTTCTTATATGCGCACATACGAAAACACATGCATATATACGTACACATACGCACGCATAAGCACACTCTAGTCGCTGCGAATGCTATACTACGGGAACTTATTTGTTGAATAAATTCTCTTCTGTATTTTCCCAAACCAAAGTCTTTAATACTTGAAACAAACTTTGTTCAAATTTAGCGCCGACGAAATTCTGTAAATTGCAGCAGCAGAAAAAATCTCAACATCAGTTCTGATTTGCTAGATGGCACTGCAGCAGTGAACCTATTTTAGTTTTGCCATCACACTTTTAACAAGTATGAAAGGTCTAGTCGAGACTACAAAACTACGATATCATGATAATGGCTTTGTTAAAAGTATGTAACAGGCAGAAGGAGGCGTGGCATACCCCACAAAGTATGTATATTCTTGATCAGAGCGACGAGCTGAGTCGAGTTGGCCCTGTCCGTCTGTCGGCCCGTCCGAAATGTTTTCCTAGGTCCGTGTATATCACGCGCATATCGAATTTTTCACTTTGTATCGATAACTACTCCTTTAGAGCTAGAGCTTTCAAATTTTGAATGTAGACTTATATGATTTTATATAATTTCGATTGTTGTAATTTACCCTTCACCCTTATATCCACCCCCTCACTCACACCTTGTACAAAGCGTAATTCAAGTACTAGAGACTTGTGCTTTGGAATGTACATACATTTGAACATTATGATTATGTTCTGAAAGTTTCATTAAGATTGTACTTCTAGAAATGAAATTATTCAACAAATAAATTCTTATAATAATGCTCAGACTGCAGCGCAGCCCAAGCGCAGTCGCTGCTTACTGCGCAGTTAGCTGATCGCGTTCTAATACGTTCGTGTGTATGTATGTGTGCCGAAAAGAAATGCAGAGTGATTAGAATATCAGATTAGAGGGTGCAGGGTATCTCCTAGTCAAGTTGTCTCGACTAGGGTCTTCTTACTTGTTTGATAATCATTCCGAAAGTGAAATGAGTATATTGATTTTGTGCAATATCCGTCTTGCTGTCCGTCCGTCTGTCCGTATGAACGCAGTATTTCGGTGCTATTGTGTGTTAAATAAACATAAAGAGGCGTAAAAATTATTTTTGGGGCATCGATAGAGGAAGCTACCAGTAACTCAGCTATCCAAATTTACAGGTTCTAGCTCTTAAACTGTAGGATATATCAACTTTTGCGGTTTGCCACGCTCCCTATGGGCGGTAGCATCAATAGTGCCTGAAACAGTGTTTGAAAAGCTGACAGTCACAGCAGCAACAGTCGTAAAATTTTGTCTGKGCTGTGCTTCTGCAGCCAACAGTTTTCGCAGTTCTGTTATTGCTAGAACTGTTGCTGCGAGCATTTTCGACAGTCGCAGTCGCAGCAAAAGCRAAAAACAATTCTTGATCAGCAGCGCAGCGCTTCGAACTGCGTTCACTGGCGACAGTCGCAGTCGCAGCTAGAGCAAAAACTGTCGACTGCCGAACAGCACAGCAG